TGAGTTTACTACATGTAAGTCTTTTACATCAATCCGTATTTATATGATGGCAATCTGTACCTACCCGAGATCTTCTAGGTTACACTCTACACCAGTAGATGTCTTGAGCTTCAAGTTTTGTAATTTAGCTTTCTTTTCGCTGTTCGAYAAAGTYTCRTCCTGAAGAATCTCATTCTTACGATTGACAAGCTGCTTGAGATTCTCAATAAATTTGGATCTTACTGGATCTATTGTGGATAAATCGTTCAAATCWAGTAACTTTTGATACCAACAAGAACCAGRATAAATAACWGACACGTCTTCGACACTTTCTTTTTTCTTCTTCAGTTCTGATTCTTCCTCTTTGGCTAACTCTTCGTCCTTGATCAGCTCGTCTTCCTTAGAGAAGTGTGAGTCTAGTTTATTGATAGTATTTTGATTATCTTCTACACTGGGTTGGTCTAGTTCGTTGGTGGTATCTGAAGGACCGCCAACACTGTGTGGACACATAGAGTCCTCTAAGGTTATRCTATGTTGCGAAGTGGAAGATCCTAGGAGACCGAGCTGATGTTGCGAGGCAACACCTCCAGAGCACATTAAGCGKAGGAATGAYAATGATAATGGWATATCAACTAGACGATTGTCTTGTAGACTCTTAGCAAGAAAGATTCCTAGTAATGTGAAGAATGACACGACTCTTTCTGTATCCGGGGCATCTTGTGGTAGGGGTGCGGGGAATAGACCACCGGATTGCTGTACGTAGTACCCTCTAGGGCGTACACCATGACCAATGTCGATCTATGATAGCAAGAATGGAGGAGTTTAGAAAATGATCACTAGTATCCAAACACAAAGATGAACAAAGCTTAAAAACTGGTAAATAAAAAGGCGAGCATGACACAAAAACAATTCTTTTTCGATGTTTTTAACAAATGAAATATATATATTTTTTCATTTTGACAATTCTATAAACGCAATGAATAACGCTATGCTTACTCCTTCGACAGTTTCTTCGTTTGCATCATCATCACAGACCCACATCCCGAGGCCCTTTCTCTGCAGCTCAGCGGCAACGAGAGCGTAGAATTCAAGAGATGGACCAAGTCCAGTTCCCTCTTCACCTTCGAACTCAATCTACAGAGATATACTAAATGTCAAGTCTTGCCTCTATTTATAAACCATTACGATTACCAATCGTTTCAATGCATCGTTTATTACTTTTCACAATCAATACAGCTGTTTGCAATAATTCTGACCCCCCCTACACTAATATTCATATATATCAAAGTAGCCTTAGAAATTATGGGATACCGATGCTGATATTTTTTTTAGAAAGTACTCATTCTGGACAACTCAAAAAATATATCAGTCATGATATCCCATAATATTAAAGGTCAGTTTGATATATATGAAATATGGCAGAGGGGGTCAGAATTATTGCAAACAGCTGTATTCCCGTTGTATATCCAAATAACMCCATATACACCCAAGCAGATGGTTTACCTCTAACACAGATTTTCTGTCTGCGTGATACTTCAACACAGCCGTGGCCCATTCAAAGAACTGAAACGAAACATCACATTTGTTATGTTCTATACGATTGCGTCTACATCTCTCCTGACTATAATGAATTCCGCAGCTCTTTGAGTTAATATTTTGGAGTTCCCATGTAAACCGGTATCCCTTGCGAACTTTGTTTGAAAACTAAGAATTCATCTCGTAATATAAGTASTAACTTACTCTTTATTATACACTTATACTTATACTAAAACCGACGAATGAATTGCGAATGAATATTTGAATTCAATTCATTTCTCAAATATGAAAAATGTAAAACACGACCGCATTGAATKCCGGGTCACCACGGCCCTTTATTCACTAATCTCCGWTATTGTATTTATGRTTACTGTACTCACGGCTGATCCCCTGGGTACCCTAACTCGCTCGTGTTTGAGACGTCCTATCTTAAACTCGTGTGAATCGTCTCGTCTAAAAGTACTGGGTCGGTTTCGTTCCATGGCTGTCTCTCGTTTACTTTGAAGCCACACTATCGCTCTAAAATGGACATGTATCGATTGAAAACAAGTAGACATTTGAACTATTCGTCATAAAACTGTTCGTTATTATTTATTTGATACTGTCGCAACTTTTAATCATGTCAGTTTATGTTGGAAGTAAGACCCGTGAATAAAATATTCATTCACACATTTACACTGGAAAAGTTGATTAGTTTACAAAGCTTGCAAATAATGTGTAAATATGTTGTAAATATACTGTAAATTCAATTTACAGACAAAGTTTATAAAGTTTGCACATTCTGTACATATCTTGTAACTTTTGTCGATCAAACATTGTAAATATCTTGTAAAATCAGTTTACAAAGTTTGTAAGGGACATTTTGTCTGCAAATTGATTAATTCAGTAATAAGATCAACTTTTCCAGTGTCATTCAATGATATATTTCTCCATCCATCCATTCTACAATTCATTCATCCATTCATTTATATATGCATTCATTTCAACTCACCGTGAACAACCAAATGCAGTGCAAGAGAAATAAAGTTGTCTAGTGTCAAAGGTGAACAGCATTGGACATGTGGTGGTTAGATATTCACACCAATCAGGAACAGCATTACTGGATACTACTAACGGGTCCTACGATAAAGAAGCACTGTCAGTCGTATAGGAATACAYGCTGTCTGGAACATCTTTGATGAAGACAAAATAAAAGGAAAGGCCCCGAAATGGATCCTTGAGGAACCCCAYCCTAACCGGTTTATGATAGCAATCAATGATATTGACCAAGAAAGTAGGCATAATTACCATAATTTGCTGCATTAGTTTTGTTGTGAGCTTGTTGCTTATAAAGTCCTCAGGATCAACAATAAATCCATACTTGTCTTCACCTGACATGAACAGAATTATCACTGAATCAATCACTGAATCAATCATTCAATCGGTCGATCGTACAATCAGTTAAAGTCTGACTCCTCAATCAATTAATTGATCATTAAATCAACAAATCAATCAGCACATCTCTCACTCACCCGTCAACCAACCAACCAACCAACCAACCGACCGACCGACCGACCGACCGACCGACCGACCGATCGATCGACCGACCAACCAACCAATCAGTCAATCAATCAAACAATGTTTGTTAAAAACTTAATTGCAACTAATACAACGATATAAGTAAATAATTTCAGATTGCATTCCAGCAATCTTCTGTGAAGTAATTCCTGCATTACCTTCCTCTCCAAAGTGTTGTGCTGACGATGAGGACATGGAGTACAGYAGTCTAAGTAGTTGCAGTATGTTTGCTATAGCGTCCATGTCACCTTTGGCATTATTAGGTGCACTAGTTATGGGTCTACTGTTTAGTGTATTTGACGACGACGATTCSGCATTTTTGGTGAATTCCTAACATATGAATATCATTAGACTTAAATAACCTTCATTAGACTCCAATGTTAGGTTGACATTGGAAACATGGGTAATGAAAATAGGGGAACAAAGAAAGTTGAAAAAACGGAAATGAGAAAGTACAAAATCATTAAAATCAAAAAACAAAACGGATAAGAAAAACAGACTGAAAAATGGAATTGAAGACAAAATATATAAGAGTAACAAAAATGAAACCATCAAAAAATGCAAGAAACGACTAAAAAATGAATAAATAGAACGCAAAACGCGAAACCAGAAAAGAAACAAATGACAAACTAATAGTCAAAACCTCTTCTAAATTTCTATCCTCACTGGCGATTTGCATCAAAATGAAACTACCCTCCTCTGCAAGCATCACTGTGATTCTGTTTTGTTTTTGAGTTCCCTGTAACCCGCGGAGGAGTCTACAATAAAAATACACTAACCTTGTAAGCGGACACCAGCTGAGAGCAATTTCTGTTCTTCCGTATCATCTTCGGCGCACCTGTCAGCTTCCATCTTCTCAAAAACGCAGCATCAGCATGTCGTTGTAAAAACGCGATCACTTCACATTTCGGTAGTTCGTCGGTTCCGAGGAAGTGCTCTACATACGTCGTAGTCCATTGAACCTTYATAAGAAAGAATATCAGAATAATTAGGCACTTTACCATAAGCGGCGCTTTTCTAGTGCTTMTGACTTTTGTTAGAAAGTTTTAGTGAAGATGTATTAATGCACCAATGATCATATATGAATTACTGTACTCACTGGAGTCTCATGGTCTTTCTTGCTACTCTCCTTTTCTCTCCATGTCTGGTCTCCTTGTAGGTTAGATTCTCGGTAAGTGATCCTTTCAAACGGAAACAAATGGAGTAAATTAAACAGAGAGACAGGTGGACAGACAGACACTTGAAMGAAGGGAAGACACAGAGGTAAATAGACAGTCTGCATACATGTAGACAACCACACCACAACTTGTGACAGACRGACGGACACTTAAAGGGAAATGACAACAMACYCAAYGATAACTTACGTGTATGTTGGTTCCCAGACTCGTCGAATTCGTTCTGCTTTAGTCCCGCCTAAAGTTAGTGCCACACGTTGGACGTAGGWRAAGATRGTGGACGATGAGTTATCAAGAGGAACTTCGACCTCAGGACACTGAATAACAAAACATCCATGTGAATACAGTGTTAATGGACTATCTATGAATATTATGATCAACTCTATTTTACTGGCACCTCTTTATCACGAGCACCTCTTAACAACGGACACCTCTACATTACGGACACACATTCTTAAGTCGCCATGTTATCGATACAAGACTTGGCCTTTATATATGAACACCTTTTTATCAGGGACGCTTTTTTCGGCCCTTCGGTGATCGCACAATACTGAATCTAATGTATATACAGCGGACACTCCCATCATACTTGATTATTTGCGCAATATAGATGTACAGGGACGCGTTTTAGCCGATTTTACTCGTGAAGTGAGAATCAGACAAGCTAATTTGGCAAGTTTATACGAGAGATAATATAATTGTGAATCAAGTACATACCCCTAAAGTAGCAGGTCCACGTATAGTAAGAATCAGGTTAGGTTGTTGTGGAGTTATATCTTCTTGCGTTGCTGTTTCTTGGGAGCCTGTTTGCAAGCAGAGAAATATGTGTGAATACCGGGTATTTTCGATGATGATCATGGATGGCCATGTTGGATGACGATAACAAAGCATTCCTCATCTGTTTCGCTTGTTCAGTCATCCATCATGGCGGTAATAGCCTTGTTCTTTATTTCTCGAGGGATTTTTGATCATGTGGTTGCAACCCATTTCATGGGGTTTTAAATGAAGTACTGATGCATCATGGGAAGTATTGCAATGCATGATGGTTAATAATTAAATGACGTAATCTATTAACATACCTGGTGCAGGAACCTCAATGTCTTGTGTCTGTTGAACATTAGTTCTTCCAGGTCGTGGATCAAATGCAGGCACAAGAGCTGAGAATTGTCTCTTTAGTACATACTCRTCATCCCATGTACGACGTCGAGTTCCAGTTCGTTCTGGTTCTTCTTCCATCTAGAAAAATATAAACAAAGCGTATGAATCAATCGAGAGGAGAGTAGGGTAACTATACTCTTAGAGTTTCTGGTTTGTATCTTATTACTCAAAGTAGTTTACTTTTCTCTCATTATTTGTTTTTAAGATCTTAGTAGTCTTAGGAAGTTAGGAATTTCAACAGCGAACGAAGGCGGTCCACAACGTTTAGACGAAACAACCAAATACTAGCGACTTATACAAGATTTTTCATTGACTCTATATTAAGTTCTTGCTGGATAAAGGGTTAATAATAAGATAAGAAAACGGGAACAAGTAACACTGTTTTTACTATCTCAGGTTATTACCCAAGTTAATAATATCCTACAGCGTTTTTCGTGATTAGCATTAACCTGAAATAATAATTTSCATTACCTCTCCATAATCATCTTCATTYTCCTCGTCGTTCTCTTCGTCATCRTCGTCTTCTTCCTCTTCTTCTTCGTCAGGCTCTGGAAGATCATCTTCATCCTCCAAGTCTGCTAGCAGACCCGATGAACGGACCGCCTCGTACACCTCGGCTTCGATATCCGACGCACGCGATCGATTTCCTGACTGTGATACGGTGGAGTTTTGAACCATGCTCAGTAAACTGGAAAAAAGASACATTAGTTGTTAGTTATTACTTGATAACACCGGCTTAGCAGTGCTGTTTGCCGTTCTGAACATGGCCGACTAATGTATTTTAGCCTTTCAAAAAACAGGAGAGAAGCGAGGCATGGTGGAGGACATGAGAGGAGATGCAGTCAACGTCAGCGGATATGTGAAGTCCCTATGTGCCACAAAGCACGAGGACACGTGACAGCCTTCCAAAATAGCCAGATAACCCGTGACCTACACACGACCAGGTGCGCGTATTAACAATGCATTGCGTGACAAGAGTAACGCACCTTTCGATGTCAGACATGTGTCGTAGTGTAGCTGTGGGTGTGTTGCTGGCTGTACTACAAGCCAAGCTAAGCAAGCTAGAAATACATTGGGAAAGAATACATAATAAAGGTCAAGGTAAAACTTAGCGAGATGCGTGACAGCAATTTCGATGCGTAGCGTGACTGTATTGCGTGATAGCTCGGGACAATGAGTGGTAACTTTCATTTAAAAAAGTAACTAAGAAAAACACAACGACGGTACAAATTAAATACCTTTTTGCCGAGCTCACAGCTACAGATAAACTATTAATAGTACTTTCGACACTGGTTGATGTAGCAGTGGATGATGGTTCTTCTACCAAGGCAGGCTCGTCAGCTGTAACGACGGAGAATTCAGCTTCTTCGCTCATCATGACATTGCCTGGTGAGCTGCGTGGAGGAATGTCTTCATAGATGTTACATTCATAAGCCTGCAACATATAAAATAAAGTTATTACTCATGAAATTCAAGAATCACTTGCAGACTATCTAGTACAAAGATTTCACATTTTTTCACTCTTCCCTTGATGCATAGCACGCTGCTCAACACAGAAATTTAGTGTAATTCAAGTGTAAACATAAAAGAATCCATTGGTCTATTTTACCGAATAATTCCCTCCCCCCTCTTTGTCAGAGTTTATTTGTAAAATCTAAAAGTCTTACCGGACTAGTTGGTAATTCTATAGGAACCTCCCTGTCAAGCTCTAATGATACTCCATCATCRGTTACTATAGCAGCCGCAGCGGAYGAYTCACTCTCGATYCCTTCCAGGACCAACGGGTTAGAGGTTGACAAGTTGTCTTCAAGAGGAGCCACTTTAGACGATTCTGACTCGCTTCKTGGTGACACTTCTCTGCTAGAATCCGAGTCAGACATGGAYACYGGATCAGCAGTAGATGGTCGATCCTCCATGACAACCAGTGTTGTGGTCAGTTGGTTGCCTGACGACGAAGAAGGTTCTGATCCATCTAGAAGTTTGAGATCAAATTTGCCATCAGCACCCATACGGTAAGAATTGGACGTACCGTTAGACCATGAAACTTCTACCCAACCTATACGATGGATACTAATGTTATCAGAAATAATTCCTMAGCCTAAATTTACCTAYRAGCTCCTAGTCCCSGTTTATGCGAGMGCCCCTGGGYRASAAAGAACTATCATAGTCTTGTATTTCGCAACCTAAATGTCACTGTTGGATATCTTTTAAGAAGCCAAATTGAGCTTCTTTGTGTCTGGACATTGACGTATGTAAAAAGTACAATAATTTAAAATAAGAGTTTCAGTTTACTTTATTTATTGTCTGTAATTCTAAACGGACTTGAATGCAAAAAAAAAATATTTTTTTTCATACAAAAGTCATGCACAAAAACTCGTAACGACATGACAATTTTAASCAATTTTATCRTCGCAAYGTCCTTAGTTTTTATGACASATGRTTMCCTCCCCCCTTCCCCAGACTAAGTAGACTCACCATTCTGTAGCTCAGAGGTGACCATCCCTTCTCCAGGAATGGAGCCATCCTGGTCTTTCCACTTCCAGTCCCTTCCACGTACAACTTTACTGCCCACTCTAAGGTTCCTAAGCATTTGGGATCGGACGAGTCGACGTTGCCGTCTAGGTGAGGGATCTACGTCCCGGGGTTTTCCTGGATATAGCGACCAACAGGGTTTYAGAGATCGGCTTTGCGAGTCTTGTAGTGTTTTTGATGGTTGCTCAGTTGCTATTGAAGGAAAAAAATAGTTAATGATAATAATAATTATGATGATAATAATGATGATGATGATAATATTGATGATGATGATGATAATGATACTGATGAATGATCTTACCAAGAGCCTCTTCAACAGCGCCAAGAATAGTTCCATATATCTCAAGTCCTGATAGCGATAGGTAATGAGTTTGGCCGCTGGCATTCTTTCCTGCTTGCTGTAAACGGAAATGTCGCCAGCCTTCCTCGTC